TACACAGTAAATGTGCTGCCAGGCTGACTCTTCAGCACAACACTTGGTGGTGTGATGGATAGCACGCCGCGTCGACACATGAAGGGGAGTGGTTCGATTCCTTTCCAGTCCACAACCTTTTTTGAAAAGGGGCTTCGTGCAAGACAAACTCTGCGAAATCAAAATGTCTTCTGCATGCTTGGAGGCAATCTCCTGGTCACGAAGATTTCTATAAGCTGATAAGTTCTTATCAAAACTGCAAATGTATAAATCACTTCGTACTTCTATCTTTCCTCGAGTGAACCACAAAATATTAACAGTATAACTTTTTCAAACTCAGTAATCACTGAGCTAAATGGTACAAGTACTGTAAAAGTCCCGAGGGGTTGATGAAGAAGGAATAAGTCGATAAGACAGAAAAAAGCATAAGCCGATACAAACCTGAATCGGTAACAAAATCATCCCAACCACTCGATGAGATATCACACTCCCAACTACTCGACACTGTGTTCTGGCTCATAGCAAATTTATCTGAATTTCCATCAGTACCTAATTTATTCGCTGCCAAATTCGGTTCCTGTTTAATACCCAATGCATAATCCAAATCGTCTTCATCTGCAATAACGAAAATGTTTTCGAAAAAATGCATTTACACACAGCACAGATGACAAGTAAAAATGAAGACATGCAGAAGGATACTGCCTATGGAAAAAAAGAGTGTATCCTGCCATCCAAGACAACAGGGTTTTTAAAGGTTTTGCCATGAATTCTGAAAAAGAAAACGAACCTGCAGGCTTTTTGATGGCGTTTTTCAATTTCAAGCCGCCTTTTTTTGGCACTGATTTTTTCGAATCAACCAGCGATGCAACGGATGATTTTTTAGTTTCTGTTGCCGTGATCTAAAAAAAAAACCAACGCTTAAAAATCTAATTTGTGTTATCCTTTTCCCTTTTCCCAGCCAATTCTTCCAGGAAAAAGAAAATAGAAAAATATCAAAATAAAAGGCCGCAAATTCATTTCCAAGCTACCAGCGGGAGTTCCAGTACACCGAAATAATAGATTAGGAGAAAAGGGAATCGTTCTAAGTGGTGTATGCAAAAAGACATGTTTGGATACAGCCTATGTTTCATCCCTTAGCTGTAAACACAAATCGAGCGCAACATGCGGGTAGGAGTGGGAATCATCAGTACAACCCCTTAACCACCGCATACATGATGCGATTGCATAAAACTGCACAAAACTACAGTAAAGAGCAGACAAAGGAGAGCAAGAAAAAAAGATTTGATGACAGAAGAAAGATGGTGAAAGCTGAATATTGACAGTCCAAGTAGTTTCAGGTAAAAATTACAGACTGTTAAGAACGAAATACTTACTCCTTCCCATTCGTCATCCCATCCATCAGTGGTTTTTTTGGCCTTTGGCACAGTGTCATCGGCATCTTCCCATTTCTCATCACTTTCAGCAGACAGTGTACTGTCATCCAGGGAGCCCCAGCCATCATCCCCGTGTTTCTTCGATGCCGATTCGTGCGATTTCGGTCTTGCCTCTGGTGCTGATTCATTTTCAGATGTTTGCTCCTTATTTTCTGTCGCAGCTGGATTTTGCACCGGTGTAGGACTTTTATAAAATCTACCCGAAATCGACTGTACTGCCCAAGCTGCCCATCTTGGCACCTAAAATAGAGCCAGATACTGACAGAGGCATTAATTATGATATATATATATATATGTTAGAAATAAGAAATTAAATTAAAAATTAACATGAAAAGTTGTGTTTCGACCCGTTAATCCACATAAATTCCTCTTCAGCACCATACTCAAAATGCAGGAAAAGTAACCTTCTCACTACTCAGCAAACCACTCTTCCCACCAGCATTTACTTGTGCCTCAAGTTCTGGTATCGATTCGGGATTTTCGCTTGCCTTCTCCAGCTTTTCAATGAAACCATGCAATGCCGCAAAACTCTGCTTCCTAACCTGAAAAGCACATGTATTAAAAATTTGGGTAAAACTGTTCGGAGAGATGCTAAGGCCTAAATATTCCTAGTCTTTGAAACTTCAGTCGTGGTGTTGAGCTAAGACGTACATGATTTAATGGACTGGAACGTTTTACCTCATTCGTTCTTCCTTCCATTTTCTTCTGTTTTCTATCTTATACACCTTCCTCACTTTGGTATCCAAGATCAACCTGGACGCTACAATCGGCTTACCCTCTCCCCCTCCCCTTCCTTCCCCCTCCCTCAATTTGCAAATTTTAGAAAATAAATGAAAAATCGAAAAAAATACGCCAAAAAAGCTCACATACCATACTGTCGGGATCGATTGTCATCGGTGATAGGGCAGGTAAAATACGATTGGCAATTTCCACTAATGAATAGTACTGCTGT